ACAAAAAATTTCATTAAATGAAATTTTTATCATTAATGGACTTTCTGCAGAGCTTTTAAATTTTAATTTTTGAATATTTCAAGTGTTTTGAAACTTTTGGAGATAGAACAAAAAATTAAAGGGCAATTTTGTAGTCTGCTTGACGACCAAAAAAAAATGTATTCAATTTTTTTTTGATTATAAATATTTAAGAAGTTACACTTAAAAAATCATAATATTAAGTCTTGATAGGCCTACAACTATTGATTTAAAAAAAATCTGTAGCAAATTTGTATTAAATGTTTTGTGCCATAGTTCACTTAATAAAAGTAAAAATAAGACTTTGCGGGTCTGTAACTTCTTAAATATTAAAATATTAAAATATATATATTAATATTAAAATTGAATACATTTGGTCGTCAATTTCCATTGAACGTTTTGTTTTATCTCCAATAGTTAGCTTAAATATGTAAAAAACCTCAAAATTTAAATTTAAAAGCTCTGCAGAAAGTCAAAAATTAATGATAGAAATTACACTCAATGACATTTTTTGTCAAAAATTTAATTCTAAATAGGGTTAAAGCTTAATTTCCATGTATCCGTTTGTCCGTAAGTCCGTTCATCCGGGAGCGCTCTTATTGGTCCAATTATAATTCGAAAATTATGACATTTTATCGGTCCGTCAAGTTTCAACTTCGTACGTCTGACAGAGAAAGGTTAAATAATTTTAACTCATCCGTCACTAAACATCTGTTTTTGACGCCTAACGTTATTTTAAGGTAATTTATTTTCAAATATTTTTATATTTTTTCAATAAGATTGTTAAACGAAAATATTACGTTCGTTATGTGAATAATGTTTTACTGTTAAGTTTTTATTTAATAAGAATATCGGAAAAAAGAAAGGACAAAAAAAAATAAAACTAGAACTAAAAGGACCTGCTTTTTTAAAACTATACATTTTAATGTATATTAGGGCTAGTATATTCTTTTTATAAGGTATATCTACCTACCTTTAAATTTATTAGACAGCTTACTGTTAAAGTTAAGTACAATTGTTTGACATAATTGTAACTATGACAATTAAGCATTAGGTAAATTTAGTAAGTGAATATACTGACACTTAATTTATATTTGTCGCAAAATCAATCCATTAAACGTCATTAAAAAACGTATGCATGAAAATTAGAACATTTCTTATCGGACGATTTTATTGAAAAACTGACATACGGATGACGGACAAACGGATACATGAAAATTAAGCTTAACTTATTTATTTTATAAAAAAATGCTTTTATAGCTTGCGGAATAAAATAATGTAAAAAATCCTCTTTTCTGTGATATTTCAATGGGGAATATTTTAAATTCTATGAGGGACCTCTTAAAGTTGAAACTACGTGCTGCGCTTGTGAGAGAATTTGTTTGAACATATTCTACGATATTTTGAGCGGAGAGTGAAAAAAAATACAATATCGATTTTTTTGGCACACCGTATATGTATATTGTAACCTATGTTTGTAAAAGAAATACAATAAAATAGGACACTTACCTCGGCAGCTCTTATTTGTCGACGCTAGGTCGGGGTTCAAGTTTTAGGATCGAAAATCTGAAGTCAAGGGCGCCAGTTGCGACAAACTCAACAGGAAGTCAGGGTGAGGGAGTTTTCTTCACAATAACAAATTAACCAATACTTAAAATAATTGACACTTTATTCTTATAAAAAATCTATCCCACTGTGCGACCAGATGTTAGCAACATAGCCTCAACTGTCAACTTAAAGCACACTCGCAAACATGGCTCATTTAATTACAAATAAAAATAAGATTATCAGACGTCTGTTACAAGGATTACTACTTAATTTAATTTGCGAGTTATTGCTGTTATAAAATGTTACAAGTGTTTATACTATACAAGCATTGATACAAGGTAATATCAAGGTTATACCCAGCCTACCTGGTGAATTTGAGATGCAATCAACCAAATTCAAGGAATCAGGGCCCAGGCACAATACTAATGGGTAAGTTCTATTAGCTCTTCCATGCAGGTTTCAATTTAAAGTGTTTTCTAGGCCTTGTCAATTCCACCAGGAACAATGTACACCGATTGTTATTGGAAATTACCAGCAAATCCACAAATCCCCCAATGGGTACCATCCTACGGGGTGAACTCGGATAGTAGGGGCGAATTCGGACGCAGTGTATTCGAACGCTAGTATATTCTAGAATCGCTAGTATTTTCTAGATTTTTAAGTCAGTTGACATTTAGATACGACCAAGAATACATGTAGTTTTAGTGTGTAAAGTGTATAAAGAGTCAACTTAAGGTTAGTATTTATTTCATGACTCCTAATTTTCCTGGATGTTTTGCCTTTTTTTAAAATAACGAAAAGAAACTTATGTGGAGAGAATTGAGAAACATTTTGCTTTGCATTTTTAATCTATTGTTAAAAAGTGTTGCATGTACAATAATTTAGCATAAAAATTTTGTGACTTATGACCTTGGTTTTTTTGTCTAGGGGATTAATTTAAAAAGGTGGGGTGAACTCGGACAGCCATGCCTCGTAAATATGTGAAGAAACTCGGTATTCAGTTTATGGTCTTAAACGTTTGTTGGCTTACTCAAAGATAAACGATTTACTGAAGAACCGACGCGTAGAAGGGGCAAAAAGCTCAATGTTGCTCCGGGAAAAGCTATACAAAATCCCAAAAGAAAGGTCTCCACTTCATCGTCTGAGCTAGAGCTGCCAAATGATGATGCAGCCGATGAAGAAATTGAACCGACGTGTAGAAGAGGCAAAATGCTTAATGTTGCTTCGAGAAAAGCTCTAAAAAATCTTAAAAGAAAGATTTGCCCTTCATCATCTGAGCTAGATCTGTCAGATAAGGATGCAGCCGATGAAGAAATTGAGAGTGAAAGTGTGGAAGAATGTGAACTTGATGGAGAAGATATATATTCTCCATCAAGTTCACATTATAACCAAAACAAACATAATAAAGAAGTTCAGAGGGACTCGAGTGCTTTTGAGAATCCAGAAAATGCAGTTATTACAACTGACACTTTTGTAATAGTTAAATTGACTAACGAAAAGACAACAAAAAACTATGTCGGCTGTGTCAGGGAAGTTGTTGATCCTGATACATATATGGTTTATTTCCTAAGATCCTGTCTGGGCTGGATTAAGTCGTCAGGAGGCTGCATGTATGAAAGCAAAAAATCGTAAGGTCTCATACTATTGTGCAAACTGTCTTAACTTGATTCTATAACCAATTTGACTACAACTGTTATTGATTTGCAAGAAAAATATTCTAAATTAAATGAAGAATTTAATGCGTTTAAAACTCTGCATAAAAACAGCGAGGACGGCAGTGGAAGTAAAAAAACTGAAAACCTTTCTCAGCTGATGGTCGAGTTGAATGAACGTGAATCTCGTGCAAAAAATTTAATTGTTTATAATTTATTGGAATCTACTAATGACACATCAGTCGATCGTAAACAAGATGATTATGATAAGGTTTTGACAACTCTTCGCTTGTGCAAACCGGATGTTAATTTTGGAAATAATAAATTTTTTCGTTTGGGAAAGTTTGAGGCTGGAAAAGTTAGGCCTATTAAAATTATTATGGATTCATCTAGTACTGTTTTAAGTATCTTGCGTAACAAAAGTAAAGTCATGGGTGACGTAAAATTGGGAGCAGATCAAACAATTATGCAACGATCTTTTTTTAAAGACCTTGTAATTGAGCTAAACTCTCTTAAGTCGAATGGAGTTACTGATAAAGTAATTAAATATATTAATGGTATACTCAAGATTGTAACTAAAAAAAACTAATTAAGAGTAGTACAAATAGTAATTTTCTAAATGTATATTATCAAAACTGTCGAGGACTAAGGACGAAACTTTTGGAATTTTATTAAAATATTCAACTTTGTAATTATGACGTCATTATTCTAACAGAAACATGGTTATGGGATGGTATTGATTCTAACGAGTTGTTTAATGATAAATTTGTAGTGTACAGATCGGATCGTAATGAACTTACAAGCACAAAAGTCTATGGTGGTGGTGTTTTGATTGCAGTTTGTGCAAATCTGCAGTCATCAAGCAATCTTAACTCAAATAAGAATGGAAATTTAGAAGAAATCTATGTATCAGTTTTGTTGAATAATACTGAGCATATCTTTGGATCAGTATATATACCCCCTAAGTCTCCTATGGATATCTATGAAAGTCACTGTGAATTTCTGGAATTTATAGCAGATTGTAACCCTAAGGCTAGTTTACATATAAAGGTATAGACACACATTTCCGCACCGTGCCCGCCACGAGTGTCGGCCGAGTGTCGGCCGAGTGTTGGTCTCGTTACGGCTCGGTCCCATTGAAACCACACTTGTCCGTGTTTACGCCGCGCCGCATCTTTCCTTTCAAAATTCAAAAACAGCGAACTCGCAATTATTGCTAGTGTCTTTCCTTTAAAAATGTATAAATTCAAAAACAGCGAACTCGCAATTATTGCTTTAGCCTTAGAGGAGGACGATAATAATAAGAAAAAAAGATGTCAAATTAAAAAAAGAATATGGGTTCATAATGCTTGGAAGAAAAGATTATTAGAAGGGGAATTTTGCACCCTGTTTCCGCATCTCATAGATGACGAATCGAAGTTTTACGAGTATTTTCGGATGACAACATTTACTTTCCAAGAACTTTTAATAAAACTTGAAAGGAGAATTAAAAAAGAGGACACGTTTTGGAGGCAATCGATAACACCGAAACATCGTTTGGCTGTATGTTTGAGGTAAGTGAAAATAAACTTTGAAATAAGTAACTTTATTTATTATTTTTTTGTTAATTTCTTTTTTTTTTGTATTTTATTTACATAAAGTTGTTATGTTATAAACTCCACAGTCGTTTCTTCACCCATTGATGAATAGTTGGATGTTGGGGAAATTACTATAAAGTCGTTCGTTAATTCAAGCTGTTTTAATTCCATTTCTTGAACTATTTTAAAAATTTCGCCTTTTGCTTTATGAAGTAGAAATGGGTTTAGCGATTTTAGAGGTGGTGCGATCCCACTCAAAAATGCATCTACCGGATGTTGCTGTTCCGTTTCCTTTTTCCTCTCGGCGTCTTTCAGAAAGTATATAGGCCATAAGCTGGCTTGATGGAGATTCTTCTTGTATTCGTTCAATATTCTTCCTTTTAAGAGCAGTTGGTTTGGAATAAAATTTTTTTCTAGGAGCTTGTTTTGCAGCGGCTTGGTTTGCAGAGGCTTGATTTGCAGAGGCTTGGCTTGCAGAGGCTATGCTTGCAGAGGCTTCGCTTGTAGAGGCTTGATTTGAAGAGGTTTGAAATAATTTTTTAATTAAAGAGGATGAATCAACACTGATATTATTAAACGGACTTGGGACGTTTTCTTTGCACGTGGAATCCCCGTCTTCTGGAAAAAAAAATTCAGGATCCTCGGTTAATTCACTTTCAGTATCCGGGAATTTTTGCACATTTGATATCCCATCTCTTTCTCCAAGATGAGGTATCAAAAATGTGAGGATATCCTCGTATTTATATTTGCGACTTTTGAGTGCCGCCTGCCCAGATTTCGTCTTTCGCTTTTGGATTGTTCTACGTAGCTGATCTCGTATAGAAGCCCATTTTTTTTTGCATTCTTCCACTCCACCTGCAAAGTAAAATATTTTTTAACTTAAATTAAAAATACACTTGGTTATTAACATATTCAGATAAAAAACCGGAACGTCAAATAATACTAATTATTATTATTATTTTAATGTGCTTCCAACAGGCACCAGGCCCAATTACAGGAGTATACACAGACACACACAAATAAACAGCCATACCTCTGGTGGGATTCGAACCCACGACCTCTCGGCTTGTAGTCCGCAGTGCTAACTACTACACCACCGAGGGCGGTTAATCGTAACTCTTGTTTCAGGTTTTTAGCTACGGGAGATTCCTTCAAAACTATTTCATTTAGCTACAGGTTGGGAAAATCAACAGTTGCGGCCATTGTTCATGACACTTGCACAGCAATAGTGGACGTTCTTTTAAATGAAGAAATGCCAGTGCCAAAAGAAGATGACTGGAAATCGATAGCAGATAAATTTTGGACAAGATGGCAATTTCCGAACTGTATTGGGGCTTTAGATGGCAAGCATATTACAATACAAGCTCCAAAGTCATCAGGAAGTCTCTACTGGAACTACAAAAAAACCTTCTCTATTGTGCTTCTTGCTCTGGTTGATCCTCTATATAACTTTATTGTTGTAGACGTAGGAGGCTATGGGAAAAATTCTGATGGAGGAATTTTAGCCAACTCAAATTTCGGAAAAGCATTAGAAAATGATAAATTAAACATTCCGAAGAAGAGGGCCCTACCTGAAAATAATACAGAACTTCCAATGGTAATTGTAGGCGATGAAGCATTCCCTCTCAAAACTTACCTGATGAGGCCATATCCAGGGAAAAACCTAACAGATGATAAGGCAATTTACAACTACCGATTGAGTAGGGCAAGGAGAATATCCGAAAATGCTTTTGGCATTTTAACGCAAAAATTCCGAATATTCATGAGAAGGCTTCAAGGAAAACCCGATAAAATTACAATGATTATACTCGCAACGTGTGTTTTATATAATTTCATTAGAAAAAGGGAAGGTTACAGATTGCCTGAGAATATTGATGATCTAAGTAAAGAAAAGACTAATCTGCAGAGAATACCACCCCATCGTGGAAGGGCTACAGATGCAGCGTTTGCTGTGCGAGAACAGTTTAAAGATTTCCTAAATTCTCAAGAAGGCAGGGTTGATTGGCAAGATGAAGCAGCATTGGCAATATGATTTATTTTTTGTTTTAAAACATAATGGATGTTGTATATTGTTTAGTTTATTTGTGCATGATTTATTTTATTAACTAATTGATTATAATAATTATAATAATATTTATATAATAATATATAATATAATTATTATTATTATTATATACAGGGTGTTATTTAAGTACGTGGCCAAACTTTAAGGGACGATTCTTTGAGTGATTTTTAAGACGAAAAGTTCATATAAACGAAAATGCTCCGTTTAAAAAAAAAATCGTTTTTTCCCAAATATCTCAATAATCCTTTAGCCGATTTTGTTAAAATTTAATAGTGTTATTAAGGGTATATACCAGTTTTTGATAGTTTTGTAGTTTTAATTTTTAATTTTTTTAAATATTGATTCAGGTGTCTTTGTAGACGCCACTGGACTTAATAATTTTAATCTAGTTTGGGCTAAATTAGCCCCTTTCTACCCTTATTAATAACACTATTAAATTTCAACAAATTTGGCTAAAGGATTATTGAGATATTTGGGAAAAAACGATTTTTCTTTTTAAGTTTTGACACCCTGTACGTTGAAAACGGAGCATTTCCGGACCTATGTTTATATGAACTTTTAGATTCACTCAAAGAATCGTCCCCTAAAGTTGATCACGTACTTAAATAACACCCTGTATGTATGTTGTGCTTTGAAATAAAATATTTTTGACTTACCTTCGGTTTTTAAATTGGTCGCAATTATTTTCCAAACCCTATCCTTGTAATCGCAATTGCGATATTTTTCGTGGGTTTGATCGAACAAAACTGGATATTTTCTTACTTCTTCAATTAAAATTTCCATTTTTATAAAAGAAAGGTTATAAAAGTGACGAGACCGCACCGTGCCCGTCAAAATATAAACGAAACTAGTCTGGCACGGCGCGGACTGTCGGTGTGCTATCGGTGCGGCGTAGAATCGGAGAGATGGGGACTAACGCAATGGCAGGGATGTCAGAATCTGTCATAAAAATCCGCTAGATTTTGTTTAAATGTACCTTTATTACAAAAATGACACAATTAACAATAATGAGTTACGTCAAAATGACAATTTGCATTGTATCAATGTGTCATTTTTTTGATTAAGGTGGATTCAAACAAAATCTAGGGGATTTTTTTGACAGATTCTGGCATTGGTTACATGGTTTTATTCTTTTCCCGTGTGTTGTCCGACTATCGGCCGACACTCGTGACGGGCACGGTGCGGAAATGTGTGTCTATACCTTAATTGGTGATTATAACCTGCCAAAAGCTATTTGGTCCTTGGATGATGATGAAGATGTTAGTGATGTGCTAGTGAATGGAATGGTAGATAGGCTCAAATGTGAGACTCTTAGAAATTGCGTAAATTTTTTAAATTTGAATCAATTTAATAAAGTAAAAAATGTTAATAATGTTTTATTGGATTTAGTTTTTTCTTGTCAGGATGATGTTATTGTAGTTTCTAGTGATTTTATTTTATCTAAAGTTGATCCAAATCATCCTCCTCTGAAAATTGCTATTCCCGTCAGTTGTGACTATAGGTTCCTTTCTAGTGACAATCGTTGGCGTTATAATTTTAAACTAGCTGATTATGAATCTATGAATGATTATTTTGCAAGAATTAATTGGCACAGTATCATCTCTGGTGATGTCGATTATTCAACGCATGCCTTTTATGAAGTTTTAAATGTAGCCATTGATGTTTTTATACCAAAAACTAAAATTAAATCAAATAAATATCCTTCTTGGTTTAGTTCAGAAACAATTAAATTATTGAAATCTAAAAATAAATTCTATATTAAATATAAAAGAACCCATGATCCTTCAATTTTGTCCAAGTATAAAAAGGCTCGCACTGATTCTAAAAAGAAAATTGACAATGATTATAATTTTTTTATTAGGAATATTCAAGGCAATTTAAGGAATAGTAATATTAAATAATTCTGGGACTATGTTAATTAAAAAAAAAAGACGCATGGTTTACCTAAATGTATGCACTTTGGTAATCAAAAAGCAGATGATGCTCGTTCTACCGCTAACATGTTTGCTGATTATTTTAAGTCTGTTTTTACTTCTAAAACCACACTTAATAATTATAACTTAAATAAATCTTTTTATGATAATATTAATCTTAATATCTCTAGATTTAATGTTTCTTGTGATAATGTTTTTAAGAAACTTGTATCCTTGACCCCCAAGATGTGCTCTGGACCTGATAAAATTCCTCCATTTTTTCTTAAACACACTTGCCCGACACTTTCATACCCAATATCATTATTATACAATTTGTCGTTATCTATGGGCTGCTTTCCCACTTTGTGGAAGGATTCTTATATTACTCCAATCTATAAATCTGGTATCAAAAGTGATGTTAATAATTATCGTCCAATAAGTGGCCTCTCTACTTTGGAAAAAGTATTTGAACAGCTTCTAACTGAATTTATTACACCATTAACTCGTAATTTAATAACAACAAGACAACATGGAAAGGAAAATCAACAGTAACGAATTTATTAATTTATTCTAATTATATATCTACGGCCATGGATATGGGTGTTCAGGTTGACTCTATATATACAGATTTTAAAAAAGCGTTTGACAGGGTTGATATTGGTTTATTGCTTTTGAAACTAAAGTCGTATGGTATTACTGGTGCTTTACACAGCTGGCTAGAAGGTTACCTAACTAATAGAAGGCAAGTTGTAGTTATTCTAGGATATCCTTCATATTTTATTGATGTTAATTCAGGAGTACCGCAAGGGTCACATTTGGGCCCTATTTTATTTTTGCTTTTTATTAATGATATTACTACATGTGTTGAATTTTGTGAACTTCTTTTATTTGCAGATGATTTAAAGTTGTATAAAAAAGTATCTTCACTTTTAGATTACCAAATGCTCGAATCAGATCTTGATCGTATTGTTGACTGGTGTAATGACAATTTTCTTGAGTTAAATATAAGTAAATGTAAGGTAATTTCTTTTTCTAAAAGTACTCGTACTTGGAATTATAATTACTTTATTAATAATAATGAACTGGAAAGAGTCTCCACTATGACTGATTTAGGTGTACTGTTTGATACAAAGTTAACTTTTATCCAGCATATTGATAAAATTGTTAATAAGGCTATGAGAATGTGTGGTTTTGTTATTAGACAATGTCAAGATTTTACATGCTATTCTTATTCTTTTTAATTCTTTGTCTCGTAGCATTTTAGAATACGCATCAGTTATATGGAGACCCTCACAACAGTGTTATATTAACTTGATTGAAAAACCTCAGAAAAAAATTGTGAAATTTTTGCTATTTAAACTTAAGATTTCGGATGATATTAGTTATAATCATAAGTTATCCTTGCTAGGAATAAAATCGCTAGAAACACGGCGTATAAACTTTGATAAAATTTTTATGTTTAAGATATTTAATAATTTGATTAACTGTTCTGATATATTGAAACTATTTTCTTTACGTGTACCTACCATCTATACTCGAAATAGTGCATTAATACATATTCCATTGTGTAGAACTAATTACAGTTGTGTGCCCAGATTGGCACGTAATCTGAATTCCTGTAATATCGATATTTTTAATGTAAGCTTGTTTTCTTTTAAAAAGTACCTTATTAATAATAGTTAATTATATGTTTGTGCATTATATATATTTTTTCTTCTCTTTTTGTTTTGATATAAGTATTCTTACTGTATCTTTTTTTTGTACTACTTGGATTTTCTCTGTATGTACTAAATAAAATAAATAAATAAATAAATAAATAAAGCACGATTCTTCCAAGATGGGAGATTATTATTATTACCCCCAAACTAAAGATGAAA